GTCCAAAACAAGTGGCTTTTTTATAAGGATCTTTGGGATCTTTGGTTACATAATTGGCAGATTACTGATAAATTATTGTGAAAACTAATTTTCAACATGTCCCATTTGTTTGAAATTCCACATCAGGCCAAAAAGACGATCGGACCAATTTTCAGGACGATCTGACCCAACTTTGTTCGATCGTCCTGAAAAGTGACCCATAAATCTTCATCATGTCTAGTTTGTGTAGTATTATATTGTATTTTAGGGTTACTACGATTTTGAGCAATGCATATTTTTTAGCTTAAGGCAAATTATTAGATGCTACGCAAATTTTTCATTTACTACGGAAATCTTAAGTCATAGTTATGGAAGCCTAACTTTACCATGTTCTGTTGAATGGATAGCTTTGTTTGTCATATATTTAATTTATTTATTGAAAAATTAAGTGAAAACCTGGTATCAAAGTAATCAAATTCTCCAAACTAGTTGTCAATTTAATTGTGTGTTTCAATGTACCTCAGACAACTAAATACAACCCCATTTTTTTCATTTTTTTTAGGGATGATGAAAATATGGACAATATACGTGAAATTAGAAACAAACTTTGTGATCTGGTTGGAGTTTCAAGACCTAAACTGGTGGTAAGAACAATATATCAATATATAAATATATTCTAAAAACAATTTAGTAACTTACCTAACTGTTTGCTGATACTTTACTTGCTTTCTCCAGTAGACATCATGTTGATTCTTTGTTTTCATTTAATTGTTAAAGCTTATCCAGATTTTGTCCATATATTTATATAATGGAAAACGGTTGACATAATTTTGTAACAGAAACAAATGAAATCTTTAAATTTGTGATGATTTCCAGGGTGGTGTAAAGAAAGCTGCTGTTGCTAAGGGTAATGGTGATGATATGGACAGTTACAAAGGTAAGCTCTTGAAGATAGATACAGGTGTTTTTTTTTCTAATTATGATCACATAGAAGGGCCACTACTTGCAGATTCGATATGTAATTTCTACCTAATGATTTTAGGCTGAAAATTATTAGGTTATACTTTTGAAATCAATGATATTACCTTTGCAACAAGAAGATAAATGGTTGTTTTTTTTTACAGATCTTCTTGGCAGAGTTGGATACTAGATGATGTTTTGTGTTGCTGGATTCAATTTAAAAAACAAATGTCTTGCTATTATACTGTACTTTTGAAATCTATTTGCAATGTTCAATCATTACTAGACATTTAAACGTGGTTGGCGCAACAGTTGTAGTTGTTGTTGTTGTGTAGTTGGCCTGTACAAGTTTGATCTTCTTCATATCATTAAATGGATATGTGAGCGGAGCTTTCTAGTTTTCACTTGTTTCCAGTTTTCATATCTTTAAAGTGAAATGGAATTCTGAATAATACATGTGGGTGGTGATTTAAAATGATTTGTGAATCAGAATAATATTTGTCAGACCTTAATAATAATAATAATAATAATAATAATAATAATAATAGAAATAATAATAACTTTATTTAAAGTAATGATGTGATGCATTTCATTGTTCTTCATTTTCATCTTTCAAGTGATATGGAAATCATGATAATAATGATTTGTTTATACTATTTCCATAATTTCAAAGTGTATACAAATTGCAGCATTGCGCCGTCTGACAAACGCTAAATAAAGAAATACGGACACTCCAGCCTGTACAAGTTTGATCTTCATATCATTAAATTGATTTTTAAATTTCCTAGTTTTCACTTGTTTCCAGTTTTCATATCTTAAAAGTGATATAGAATTCTAAATAATACATGTGGGTGGTGATTTAAAGTGATTTGTGAATCAGAATAATATTTGGCATCTTGAGGATATTTCCCGTACGATTAAAATCGTAACGGTACTGGGTTTGGTCTACAGGAGCTCGTGTTTCGTACAGGTCATTCCATTCATAGAAAAAGCCTTTAATGGTGAAAGCGTACCTGTCATCTCTTATACACATCTAGATGTGTATAAGAGACAGGTATTTATACGCATTGTTCTGCATGTACGCATCAACATCTACTTATTGAAACGTATGAAAAAAAAGGGCCTACGTTAATTTTTAATGCATAAAAATATATTCGTTTTTTAATCATTTATTTCAACATCTTAAAACTAGACTGGAAATACATTTTCTTTAAAAAAAAAAAAAAAAAAGCCAGTTTACCTAAAATCAGAACTAATCGCAGCAAAAACTTTATTACCAACTTTGGTCTTTTTACAAAAGGGTGAACCTTATTCATCCTGTTTTTTTAACAGATGAATTTAGAATAGTATTAAAATAAAAGAGAACACCTTTAAAATAGGGCAGACACCCAAATATAGTAAGTGCATTTTTAAAAAATAATTTAAGGATACAGGTTGAAAAAGGAAGGAAACAACTTCACAGTATGATATACTTACAACATTTAGTAAAAAACATGAGATAATACATTTTACAATACCTTACTCAGCAAAGTCGTAAGAACCAGGAAATATTCCCACGATATGTTTAGAGCGTGCTGATTTATAGTGTCATTACATATAGTATAGGCCTGGTTACGAATATTCCATTTATTGTGTATTTACAATGCCCCTCTTTTTACTACCCAACACTCTGTTACAACGCCTTGACGATACGGTAAACTTTTTCAATAATTAAAAAAAAAAACTAAATAGATCAAAATCCCACAAACATACTTTTTGGCAGTAGGGGCCCCTCCTACTACGACCCAGCATTTTACTATATGGAGCTGTATGCTTTCTGGGGAACAGTTCCAAGTCTGTCTCTTATACACATCTAGATGTGTATAAGAGACAGATATTTATGTGTACAAAGTAGATAGTATATAATAGTAAGAAATAAGACAGTTTTATGGTAGAATATAGCATAGTAGGTAGGTTTAAGAAATAGGAAAATATATAGGTTAATAGTTTAGGGTGTAGCTTTTGAATGGGAGAAAAATGCCTGAGGTCACAGTCCGCACCTGAGTCCTATGTCGGCACTAAGGCCTATAATGCATCTTGAGGATATTTCCCGTACGATTAAAATCGTAACGGTACTGGGTTTGGTCTACAGGAGCTCGTGTTTCGTACAGGTCATTCCATTCATAGAAAAAGCCTTTAATGGTGAAAACAAATTTGGCTTTAATAGTGGTTTTTCTTTTTATTATTTCCATATATCTTTTAAGTGATATGTAAATTAAAATAAAAATGTGGGCGGTGCTTGAATGTATTTGCTTCACATTTGTTCAAATGAGTTTGATTATTAAATGTGGAGAAGATGGAGTTGGATACTAGATGATGTTTTGTGTTACTGGATTCTGATTATATGACTAACTTGTTTGTCAAGAGCTTGATAGGAGAAGGCATACCCACCATATTGACCATTATTGACCAGAACAAATTCCAATATTTTTGGTCATTTTTTCAAGTAGAGGTGGAGACAACCTAGAAGAAAATCATTGTTCAAGGTTCAAGGAAGTCACCTCATGGTCTTCCAAATTTATGTTGGACAGATGGAATTAGGCACCTCACAGGGGTGTCGATTAACACAGCCTACAGAACAGCATTAGAAAGGGTCGCAAATGGTCAGTATAATAACCCATAGGACAAAGAGGATTAGATGATGCAAAGTAGTTATATTTAGAATCGCCATCCTGCATTATTAAAAACAAGAAACACAACAGCATCTCCGGTTTTTTTAAATTTTATTTAATACAAAAATGTATTCCGGTATAAAACCATAATGTAAAGAACTTTAATAATATTTCTTATTTCTGGGGATGCTAATTGAGAATGAAAACTACTGTATGTTTAATTGCAGTTTGAAACTCCTGAATGTCAAATTATGAAATAATGTACATTTCCAACAGGTAAGCTAAGCACTTTATGTTTGTCTCTTAACCTGAAGTTCACATACAGTAGGTATGCTTCTGCTTGTTTGATGTTTTATGTTTGACTGGAATTCGAGGCTGGGTGTTTATAAATTCCTTTGTTTCCAATGGCAAGATTAGGTGATGGCGATGATGATGTTTGTTGTGTGTGTTGATGGTGATCATGGTTGTGTATGGTGGTGATGGTCTAGGTTGTGTAAGGTTGTGGTAATAGTAGTTGTCTTTCAATTATCCTGTTACTATATTGAAAGAATTTCAAGTGATTGTTATAATTGAGTTGAATACATAATTTGTTTTTAAAATTCTGCATTGCTAGATTTTATTAGTGTTGATCAGGACAGCTAAATTGAGTGGTAAACTCAAAAGGTTGGTTGGTTTTAGAATGTAGAACTACTGGAAATAGTGAGATTTTGAGTTTGATGATAACAAGACCATTTTGACTACATGTCCTGTGTTGTCTGCACAACACAAAATGATTCTTTGTCAATTTGCAGTTCAAAGCTAACTAATGGACACCAACTCTTAAAATTTAATTAATAAAAATAAAATAAATGTCGTGGTTCGACTTTGATTGAAAAGGGAGGTACAATCTTCTTTGAGTAGTTTAGACTCATTTGGTAATCAATCACAAGACATCTGTGTATAGCATTCAAAATTTTATTTGCACAAAAACCAAAGCGAATTATAAGAAAACCATGCAAAAAATACATTCCAAACAAGAATTATATAATGCATTATAATTATATAGTATATCAAGCATAAAAACATTAGGCAAGTTATACAATTTAACAACAACTCTGATATAACCTGGCAACACACCAAAATCAGAAACAATTTGATGATTGAATAGCATAGCCTAAATGGTGTAATAACTTGTATTTACCTCAAGCTAGAGTCTGCTTAGTGCACCAGTCTGTAAACTACGACTATTGGACACTCCAGCAACACTTCTGAAACTACAGACTATTGGACGCTCCAACAAACTTCTGTTAACTACAGACTAATAATGGCCACCAAAACTTCTGTAACTTCAGACTATTACAGGCCACCAATCTAACGGTATATTAATCACTAAACAAGAATATAACAATTACAAGTAATAACAATCACTCTACATTAGCGGAATGTACAATAACAATAATATTAACAACTCATGTAAATATACAGCACAATAATATTAACAATGCATTCAATACCGGCATTAGTCCAATGTGGACATGAATTAACTACATATTATAATATAACATGCTTATAACTTATTGTATCAATGCACATATATCATTAAATTGAATTAACTATAGATTATAATATACACTTACATCATGGACTTCAGAACTGCATATTGCCAAAATAACGTGTGCAGGGCTTGCAACGGAACAAATGAAAACTCGTTGCAAGAGCCCACAAAAGCATATATGTGAGGTCTCACCCTGAAATGAGACGCATCGTTGGTGAAATCATATTGAGATATTCACCAAAGTAGGTCAAAGGGAACATTTTTACATAACTTTGATTTTAATGTTTTGGAATAACTTGATACTTATATTTTATGATTGTGTACTTTTTAAGTGAATTTTCTTACTAAAACAGTGTTCTCTTTGCATTTTCTGTAATTCTAGTCCTATTATTTGTAGAGGTTAGTTTATCTTTGAGGCTAATTTTCTCAAAACCTGGTTCTTATACATGTAAACTTTAATGCTAACATCTCTGGATCTATTTATCTTGGGGAAGCCATTCAAAGGCCAAATTAAAGCTTATAATGTGATCAACCAAAATGTAATACAGTATAAACTCATTTTTTGATTTTCTAACGATGAGACTCATTTTGTAGTGAGACCTCACATATACCGCGGAACAGCTGTGTATTTGTATGAATATGCTAAAGATGAATATGCAAATACAACAATAATAAAGCAAACAATAATAGCTGCAGTGCAATCCCATCGCACGAACAGATCGCATCATCACATAAAGATATAGCATGTAATATTTAAATATATAAGTAATTAAATATATATTAATTTAATAAATAATTAAGCAATTAAGTAAATCAATAATAAATAATTAAGTCAATATATTAATATTCAATATAAGATAAAGTAATTAATTTATATGTCTTGTATTTATGTTTTCTCACCAGATTATGAACAACAGTGGGGGTCCATCCATCAGGGAGCACAGCCAATAATGTCTGGAGAACATTGAGTCGACCTATAACTATTTTCCGAAAACCATGGAAGATTATATTACACATAACCGTGGCAATATAGGTGTTGTGTAAGTTGACCAATCAAATTCATTATATGTATGACATCATCAATTAGCATTTGTATTTTACCTTTTATTTCATTTTTTTTTCATTACTTTCAAATGTAATTGAATTAAATGTATCAATACAATATTAATAAAGACCCAACAAAATAACTAAGTGAAGATAACATACAGGGAAACCTAATTACAATTGGCAACATTCACCAGACGTCAGTCCACTATGGTTGATTAACTCATTTATTTTATTTAATGTTTGTTTTTTTTATTTCATGTCATCTGTAAAATACAGAAAAATATGTTCACTTTCTTTTAGCAAAATTCATATATTATCAACAATGATAAAAATAAAAATGCTAACTATACATGCAATGCATCTTTTTTTGTAGTTGTAAAATATTTATACAATATTTGTTTTATTTTTTGTCAATATGTTTTATTTCAAGTTGACCAATCAAGATGTGTTTGACATCATTAAATAGTTTTTAGGAATTTTCCAGGGGATATATTTTAAGAAAAGAAAAAAAATATATTTTTAAATAAAACTTCAAAAAGGGCAGGTGGTACAGCAATAATAATATTATCCTTGAATTACAGTATTATTACACAAATATTTACAATGACATTATCCTTGAATTACAATATTATTTAAAAATTCTTAATGACTTTAAAATAATTACAATTTACATTTGTTGAAGATTATACTGTCTAATTTAAGTCTTTCATTGTCATTTTAGTAGTTAAATATTTTAACATTGTTTTGTCTGTGATTTGCTACTGCTACTCTTCTTGGTCTATTGGAGATTACAGTGATTACTGCTGGGATATCTAATCCATCATCTCCATGATCTATTCTTTTTATGAAGACACCATTTTTATCAAATATTTGTAGTTTATCATAACTTGATACTATTATATTTTCATCCATATCAAGGATTACACCATTAGGACCCTCAACTTTACCATCTTCACTACCTCTGCCTACAAGGATTCTCATGAACTTATCATCTGCATCAAACATTTGTATTCTGTTATTTAGAGTGTCAGCAACAATCACATGACTGTCCTTAGTTAAAGTGACATCAATTGGTATCTTCATTTGACCTACTTCACTACCTTCTGAACCTATCTTACCCAGCAGTCTACCATCATCAACATTGAATTTAAACACACAGTGAGCCTTACAATCTGTTACATACAGGACTCTAGTTTCCTTGTTCACTGTCAAACCAATTGGAACTTTCAATATTCCTTTACCAAATGAGCGGATGTCTTGATATTTATCATCACACATTACAACACATTTTCTTAAGTCATCACTGTACACCATGTGACCATCACCCATTAGATGCATTCTATTCACCTGCACATCTTGTGGCATCTCTATCCTAGCAACAAATGAACCTGATTGGTTGAACTTTAATATATCTTTACTGTAGCTTGATATTAGTATGCATCCATCTGTGTCTAACATTACATCTGTCACCTTAGCTGTTTTTCTATGTTCTTTATAATCTGATATGTTGCCAATGGTATGTACAAGTCCCAGTGTTTCTACCTTGATATTCACTGGAGATCCTTTGATGTGTGCCTCTCCTGCTATAATCTTCATTTGCCAGTCACCTTCCACATTGCATCTGCCTGTTATTTTGTACTCTCCATTTCCTTGGTATTCTACATCAGTGGCTGTTTCTTCATGTGATGGGTTGCTCAGGGTTGCAGCTAATTTACATGTATCACTCTCACTTAAGCTTGATACAGTCACTACAAATTGTTGTCCCTTTGCGACGGTAATTGCTTCATCATTTTTTTCAACCGTGTACATGCCATCAACGGTTACAATTTTACCAATTCCCTTTGTTTTTATAAACTCATCCAAGTTGGTAGATGGAATAAAATTGGGTGTAATATTTTTTTTATTAAATGATTGATCAGAATCAGTTCCTAAGACCTCGGCTCTAATAGTGTTTATAGTTTTTCTGTGTAAACCAAGTGTTTCTGTATCTTGTGGTTTGTTCTTCATTGTATTGATTGAGGCCATCACATTTTTAACTTTAGTTAGCTTTGAATCTATCTCTTTAACTTGACAATCAATGTCTGTTTTCTTTTCTTTGTGTATTTTTTCAAGGTCTGAAATTAATTGTTTGCTTTTCTCTCGGACTTCTTTGATAAGTGTCTTCTCTTTCACTTCGATAGCTGTTCTACATTGCTTCAGGTGATATTCAAAGTCAGATTTGTCCTTATTGATGGAATCAAGTGTTTCTGTCAATTTTCTTTGCATATCTTTAGCAGTATTAATAACCTCAGTAACATTTTGGTTAAATTCTAATAGTGCAGGCATCTGTTAAAAATAGAAAATGTATTTTTATTATCATATTTTTTGACCATATTATGGGACCTGTAGAATGTACAGGGGCGGATCCAAAAATTTTCAAACGGGGGGAGGGAGGGGAGG